CGGCATTCTTTAAGAGTGATCTATTTTAAAACAACCGTGATTTCAAAGGACATATCACTGGGGGGAGAAGGTGAATAACTGGGAGCCATGATTAAAGAAAGTAAAATCAATGCGTCTCTCTACAGGACTTGGTTTTATCTTATTCTTTCTCCCATCCTCCCACTTTATTTCAGGTATTGAAAGATGGAGGGAAGTACTTTCTGGACACTCCCAATGAGGACTGTGGAAACTGGATGATGTTTGTCCGGTTAGCCCGGAACCAAGAAGAACAGACTCTGGTGGCTTATCAGCACTGCGGAGAAGTCTACTTCACAACTGTTAAGGTAGTTAAACCCACCCTGCTTCACCTGTTGTTTAAATGATAATTCATAGACAAAGATTGTGAAAGACTAACCCTTTTACAGATGAAAGATTGATTATATTCAAACAACTGCTTCTTTTTTACATACCAGCTTTTATATCACTTAATCCATAGTAAAGCAAGCAGTGCATGGGGTTTTCCAGTAAAAGTCAGCGTGTGGTTATAGTTCTGGGTAGTGAGCAAATGGAGCAGAGGTTAAAAAAAAACAAAAATCATAACTGTGTTTAAACATGAATAAAGTCTTACCTTTCTTCAGTTCTGAATAGACCTGTGGTGAGACTGTCAAGCAGTGTTACAGCAAACAGTGCTTCATGCTGGAAAGAACAAACACACTCCTTTCCTTTATTACGTTTTTGGACACCAGGTGCTCAGAAACAGGATATTAAGTAGAATCTTTAGGTACTATTTTCCACTCTCATTAAATCTGGAGACTTAATCGCAGAACTTCCAATACTGTGATGTTGTGCCGAAATTATCGGTTTGTGTTAGAGTTTCGGGACTGTTACTGTGCCTGAGGGAAGAGAACAAAGTGCTCTGTATTTATAAACAACATTGGAATATACAGACTTGATTTTTTTGGCTTTTCTCTCATATGTTGTTTTGGCCACTTGAACAGGACAAAGTTTACTTTTATCAGTGAGAACTTACTCTTTTGGACGCTTATGAAACTGAAGGTTTTCTTATAATGGAATTTATATGTTGAACATCTCTTATTTTCCCTTTTTTAATGTTTTTTTTAAATTTAATGCTTCTATATCATTGTGAAGAAGAATTTATTGAGAGAAGCTAGTGAGAGAAGTTACTGTGGGATCAAAACCTAGCATTTCGGTTTCATTTTCAAGTTTGGCATACGTTTGTGTGGGATAGTGGTATTTACTTTCATTCCTCCACTTTCATTTTTCCACCATACAGTCATGGTTTGAGGATAAGGTAATGGGGATCGATAGCACTTTACATCTTTATAACAGTGATAAATATAGTTGCATTTGAATGATTTAAAATAGAAAACCAGCGCAGAACAGTAGATGCTAATCTGAGGCAATGCTCAAGGTATGTTCAAAATTCTGATGCGCTCTGTACCCTTTGAGATTTAATGTACTCTTTTAAAAATGTGTGCTAGACATTTAGAACTGTCGTGTTTAATAGTACTATATTTGAGAAGCATGAACAAGTGCTTCTCTAAGAAATTGTAGCTGTGAATTGGCAACTTAACTGGCAATTTGAATACTACTGAGCCAGCTCTCTGCTGGCGCAAAAAGAGCAATGATCCGCTGGCTTCAACAAAACGCTGCTCATTTGCAGTAATGGAGAATTGCATCCTGTTTACTAAAATGAGGAGTATCTTAGGCTGAGTAATGTGCTTTCGAACCTTAACTATGCTATGCATCATAGGGAGTTGCTTTGGTTTTCCCACTCTTCAGTCCCTAGTATGATTCACCGTTTTGTGGAATCCTGCAGATTTTGTCAGTGAAAATTACAGCCTTTTGCTATGCTTAGGCACACCCTGCTGGTCACGTTGTGAGGCAGCCTGGGGTCTGGTTATGAAGATACTTTCTCAAGGTATTTTGAATAAACTCTTTTAAGCTTGGAGTAGAAGTATTGGCTCCTCTCCGCACTGTTTTTGTAAAGAGATGGAGTATGAATTTGGAATGCAGGTAGAAAAAGCCTCAGTACTGTGAAACTACAGCTACAAAAGCATACATGGGTGCATACAGGCCAGTGGCATACTAACACTGTTGTTAGAGTAAGGGCCGACCTAATGAGTGCAGTCCCCATAAATCAGTGTTTTTTAAAAGTATAGAATTATGAGGAAGAAAAAATCATCCGAGCCTGTTGTCTGCCTGATCACAGGAGAATCTCATGTGGGTGCTGTCAGAGCTTTCACTCATTGTCCTGGGCGAGACAGAGTAAACGTCAGCTCACAGTAGACTTGGATACAGGAGCTTATTTAAGAGCCAAGATTAGAGCTTTTGCCCTGCTTGATTACTTCATACATTTCACACACTCGCTCACTTGCTCCCCCTCAAAAGTCACACTGACTTGGTCTCAACTTTCCTCCCCAGTGGGGAGATCGCTGCTGGTCCAGGAGGTTGGGCAGAAAGTTGTCTTGCTGTCATACTATGCAGCTGCTTGTGGTTACCATTCTCAGGTGTCATCAGCCAAGGGCAACCTCAGGCATTTGCTTCTAGAGATCTCCCCCCCCTTTCCAGGATCTTCCTCTCACAGGTCTGGTTTTCTCCATCTAAACAGTCTATAGGCAGTAGCACAGCGTGTGATCAGCCTCCTGTTTCTGCCTCATGTCTCTTTATTAATTGGAGGATTCAGCACATATCACTTTTGTTTAGTCCAGATGTTATCAAAATGTACAGCTGGCCCATACGGTTGCAGCTAGCAAGCAGGCTTGTGCTTGAGAGTTCAAAAGTTCAGTTTTGGACATTACACATACATGATTATCTGCCACTTGTCAACGTTCACAGTCCAAGTTATTTTTCACCTTCCACACTTACTTATGCAACTCTGATGTTATAAACTAAGTACGTTTTAAGAGGTCACATTTTGTGGAATAAGACTCAACTGCTGTCCTTCAAAGCTAATTTACTCTTTATAGTGGCACAAGTTTAGTTTAATTTAAATAATTCTACACATACAATGCAGATTGTCTGTGCACCCATCACAACAGTGGTGTTTTGATTACAGATTAATAAAATGCTGTATGGGGGTGGTAGGAAGTCATGTAAATCCTGACCCCAAGGTTACTTTTTTCCTTTGACCCAAATACCTAAGGGATCTTTAGCCAGTGAGTATAATCACACCTCTCTTTCTGTTTGTTGTATTATTGACTGAAATTATTTGTCAAAGGAGATCATAGTCCTGTCCAAGAGAAGATTTGTGCAGGCATGACTGGATGGGAGAACTGCAGCTCAAAGACTCTCTTATGTGTGGGAAGGCTTCAGTGAAAGAGGGGCAGACATACATACAATATAGCGCGTGCGTAGTGAATCTGACACATTAGTGCCAGCGCATGGAAATATGCAAGTTTAACTCGGAGTCCACGCACTGATCAACTCTACACCAATGCTCAGTGAGTGTGACACATCTGGGAGGCATCCAAGCTGTTATGCATGCACCATGCATTTTTCTCTTGCCTCTCTACCCTATAGTTAAACGTCATGTCTAGTGGGCTTCTAGGTATCAAAGCATCAACGTGGGCTATTGCTTGGAAAGACTGCTGGATGTCTGGAAATTACAGACAAATACAACTCACTGAGTAGTGGTCATGAGGGCTGAAGCACCCCTCCTTTCTACTTCCTACCGCAAAATCTCTGCCTGTGCATACACATTTCTGCTTTTAGAAAGTGCAGAAGTGTCAAAGGATACTAGATGGTAATGCTCAGAAAGTGCTTGAATCTTGAAACTAAGTTAGCAGTGATTTAAACAGATTCAGAAAACACAAGTAAAGATAAGTTGCACCCCTCTCAGTTTTGAATACAGTATTATTTTCTATAGGAAATGTGGCACAAGTAAACATGAGCTACTTGCATTCACAGCCAATTGAACCCCAGACAGAATTAAAAGTATGGTATGCTGCCGATTATGCCAAATTTATGGAAGCTTCTGCAGTCTTCATTAAAGAAGAGTCTGACGTCTGCCCTTTGTCTCCAGTAACAACAGTAAGTATCCCTAACCTGCATTCAAGCCATCACTGGACATAGCAAATTACAACTTGTTTACATACTTTATAACTTTGGTAATACTAGAATAAAATCTTAGAGGAGTTGGCTAACAAAAAGCCCAGAGCGATGTTAATCAAACAGCTATCCAGAGAAAGGCCACTCTTGCGCTCCTGTGTTTGTAATGTAACAGAGGCAGCAGTAGTGGAATCAGTGGGATGCTTTAGAAAGACTGAATTTGGCATTAATTTTTGGATAACTGAACTGTCCCACCTCAGAGCTCTTCTCTCACCACTTCATGGTTCCCACATGTCATGCTCTGCCCAGCACAGTATACAAGCACTGGCTGCTTCGGTCTTCCCTGTCGTAACGCTTCTGTTCTAATCCCAGTACTTTCCCCCTTTGTACAATAGTAGGAATCCTTAGACTGCTACAAAAAGTTTGGAATGGTCGGAAAAGGGAATGTCAAGAGACAGAAACCTAAGCTAGAAGGAAGCACTAAACAGGGAATGCAATCAAATCACGAATTCAGCAGTACTGCAGGAGGGGAAGTATCCTGCTTACTGCGGTCACATAAAGGGTTTTAAGCGCGTAATCCAGAAAGGAAGGATGAGGAGCCACAGTGTAAGACACAGAGAAAAGAGGAGAGGGCTCCATCTGTAGAGAAGGACACTGGACATCATAGCCTCAGGATGTTCCCTAGAGCCTGCTAACCCAAGAGCAAGGGAAAGAAAGGACAGTTGAGGGGATGCTTAGGTAAAATGTGGAGACAGCTAAGGAAGGATGTGGTCATGCATAATCTGGAAGTACATTGCCTTGGTAACTTTCTTTTTGTAGTTGTTTCTCGTTTGAATTTTTAAAATTTCAATATTTAAAGTGAATTCAGTAGATCTGTAGAGCTCTTATTTCCCCAGAGATAATTCCAAATAATGCATTCCTACTGAAAAACTGTTCTGGTGCCTTTAAGCCAGGGTCGACTTGAGATTCCCAAACCTAAAGGTGTTTCTTACTGAGCTTAAGAAAGTCAAATGTCACATACCAGGCTAGGTGAAGAAGTCTCCCCTGAAAGCATTAACCATTGCCATCCAGTAAAGCGGCAAGCAGTGCAGAGCCCACCCAAAAGGGGAAATCTTGTATTGCTAAACTACATTTCTGTGCAGAAAAACACCCAGTTAGTCCCCAGCTCTGGGCTTTTTGTATGGCTGCAATAGCAGATAAATGCTCTCAGTCTAAGCTTAAACTGCGATTCTCAACTGCTTTTATGAGTAATTCCATAATAAGAACAAGTATAAAGATTTTGAAATTGGGTATGCAGAGAGAAACAAAGGTGAAGGACTCGAGAGCAGTAAATGCTAAAGCAAAACACAGAAATCGGTATTTAGCCAGCCATTTTTTTTTCCTTTCTAGCTTGTAGACTCCTAGAGTTAGCCCATTTCCAGCTGAACAGCTGTGTGGCAGTGCACTGAAGTAAATGTCATAAATGACAACAACAGGGGTCTCGGGAAAGCCCAGGAGAAGGTGCAGGGTCAGCGAGACGAATATGACCTTTCCTTTGAATGGCTAATAAGAAAGATCTGTTTCTGTTCTCATTGCAGAAAGAGCCCGTAGACCCTTGGATATGCTCCAGCTGTAGAAACGCTTTTGCAACTTTTGCTCTGCTGGAATCTCACCAGTGCATCAATAAAGATCGAGTCCTTACCACCAGGTTCAGACCACCAAATAAATTGGGACCTGTAAAAGCAAAAAGCAAACTCAAAGGGAAACTGAGAGGAACGGCATTAGGCAAAAGCATCGCACAGTGCTATGGGACCATTTCCTGTTCCTCTGCTGCAAAGCTTAGCTGTGCCAGCTCAGGAAGCACTTGTGATGCTCTTGTGAGGTTTATACCTAAATGGAGAAATGGCCGGTCTTCACTGTTGAAGGGAAGAGAAGTGAAGCAGCCAGACAATTACCCTTGCCGACTCTGTGGGAAGATATTTGATTCCATTGAAAAGCTCACAGTCCACACTTACGCGCACAAAGGGGAGCACCCCTACAAGTGTTCACAGCACGGATGCACAAAAGCCTTCATTTCCAAATATAAACTGCTCAGGTACAACTCTGAAGGCACGCCTTTTCTGGTGGGTGCGTGGGGAAAAACAAGGACATCTTTTTCCTCTGGAGTGTCCTAGTGACAGTTCATCCCCAAGTTCCAATTTGCATTTCCCTGTGTTGGGAGAATTTGAGGAAACTAGTCCCCCTCAATTGGAGTTGCTACTCAGAAAGATTGTGTTGCAGTATTTTTTTAACCTGCTCCATGCTAGATGATTAACACCTCCCCACCCCACCCCCAAAAAAAGAGTTAGGTTATAAGAGTTAGGCTATTACTAATCGTCTGAAAAATGTGTAAAAAGTTCTTCCTGCAAGAGTGCCAGGGCTTTCAAGTCTTGAAACTGCATCTCAGTTTTGTGCTAGAGTTATGTAAATGCAAATAACTTTTTTTTTTTTTTTTTTTGGTCTTAGGCACTCAGCCACTCATTCTCCCCAGAAATCTCACCAGTGTGGCTATTGTGAAAAGACGTTTCACAGGAAAGACCATCTGAAGAATCACCTTCAAACTCATGACCCTAACAAGATGGCCTTCAAGTGTGAAGAGTGTGGCAAGAAGTACAACACCAAGCTAGGCTATAAGAGACACTTGGCTCTTCATGCAGCCACCAGCGGGGACCTTACCTGCAGGGTATGTGCCCAAGAGTTTGGTGGTACCGAAGTGTTGTTGGAACACCTTAAAAGTCACGCAGGAAAACCAACTGGCAATACCAAGGAAAAGAAACACAAGTGTGACCATTGTGAGCGTCACTTCTATACCCGTAAAGATGTGCGGCGACACATGGTAGTTCACACAGGCTGCAAGGACTTTCTATGTCAGTTTTGTGCCCAGAGGTTTGGGCGGAAGGACCACTTGACTCGTCATACTAGGAAGACTCATCCACAAGAGCTGCTGAAGAGCAGGTTGCAGAATGGTGACTCCTTGGGTCTCCTTGACCAGCTTCTTCCATTCAGACTGAAGGAAGATGCCAGCCTACTGTCCTCTTTTCCTGACAGGGTCTCTATGCAGAATGGGGTTCTGAGTAGCTCAGAACCAGAGGAATACAACTGTTCTCATCTTCACTCCCAGCCAAACTTACCAGCTGCTCTTCCTCTTGAACCTGCTCCTCATTTACAAAGGATGGGCTGCGTAGACAGCCTTCCAGCTGTTCATGCTACACCATGCCCGACAACCATTCCTGCCAACCTGAACCTTCATCAGCCTAATAAGTACGACCTTAGTTCTACCTCATTTGCAGCAGGATCCCTCAAGAATCTGCCAATCAAAGTGGATGTTAAAGGTTACAATGTGCATCTTGTTGAGGACCTGCCGTCATCAGAACCTCAGTCGCTTCACAAAATCCATCTGGAAGAAGCTTCCTCAGGGCCTGCAGGTGATACTAGTAAGTACCCAGTGCACAAGGAGACAGAGACTGCAGCTGAAGCTACCAGCATGCCTTTCATGGATCTCACTCACATAATGAGTTTCTGGCAGCACCCACCGTGCGACAACCAGAGTGCTACTGGGGACATCACAATGGCATTCAGTCCAGAAGAACCATCACACAGGCTGAATGGCCTTGGCCAGCAGCAAGGTCCACAGCTCGCTACTGGTGGCATGGCCATAAACCAGCTGCATCATGTTCCTCGCTCCTTTCCGTCCACTACAAATTCTGTAACATTGCCTCATTTTCACCATGCCTTTAAATAACTACCAGCTTTTTGAGGGGAGGGGAGGGAGGTTGGTTGGTTGTTTGGGATTTTCTTTTTAGACTGTGCTTCTTAAATCTGTTAGGAAAGTTTTGGGGTTTGTTTTTTGTTTTCTCATTAAAAAAACTGCCCCAAATGTTTTCAAAGTGCATTATAAACACAGTAGATAGATAGATAAATTCAGAATGTTAATACAAGACGCTCTATTTTCATACTACGATTAGTTTTTAGCATATGCCAAGAGTAAGACTAACATATTTCCCTCAACACTCTCCATGTTTTTGTTTCTTACATTTCAACTGAACAACTGAATAAATATCTTCAATAGAAATTCAAAGCATCCATCACAGGCACAGTAAAATTATGGCTGCTATGGTAGGAGAGAGGGGGTTAGGGTGAATGGGAAGAAGGGGAGAAAAAAAAAAAATCACAGAAAAACATGACTGTAATGAGCCATAAATCACTGTAAATTTATACATAAAACAAATTGTTAATACGAACAATTTATGAACACACAGATTTCAGTGTAAAGCACTTACTTAATAGTGAACTTTTTGATTTAAATTAAAAATTCATAATCATTCCAGGAGGAAATATTATCTCCTTGTTTAGCTTTTTTAAAAAGAAGTAAATCACTCTTGTGATTATGGTTAACTAGATTTCATTTTCTGAAATGCACTTCAGCTGTGTGCATTTCCTGCATTATTCCTACCACTGCTGCCTGATTATATAAGAACAGATGCCTAGTATACATGGCGCTTTCAGAAGGGGAAGTGAACTGTCTCAAAGGTTACAACAAAACGTATCATTTCTATTTAGAACTTGATCTGGTGAGATATTAGACACTGGTCTCACTCTAGTAGAGCACTTAAGTAATTGCTTAAATTTAAGCCTGTGTTGGCTCAACACCTTGCTTGATTTAACACTCAGTAAAAATAGAACTTCCTAACTAAGGAGCCCTTAGGTCACCTTCTGTTGATAAAAATGGCCTCTGTTTAGTCTGGAAAATTATTATTAATTATAGCCATCTGAAACTTGGATTCTTTGACAGATCGCCAGCCCTGGCAAGGCAGCCTGCACAGGGGAGCCTCCAGCCGAGCTGAGCTTCTGTTGAGCCAATGATGTCCATCCCATGTGCCCAAGGGTGGTGGTGGTCACCTCACCCACCTCGCCCTGGGCACTATTCAAAGCCACGGGATGTGAACCTACCTCAAAATTGTCACTGAAATGAGCTGGAATGATAATGGTCACAGTCATTTTAATTCTGTGGGTTTTCCTCAATAATTTTGGAGAGTTACCCTTTGCCTTTGTTTCTTCCAAGCCAGGACATGGGGATTTTGTTTGTTTCTTTTGGTAGGTTGTCCACATATATCTCCAGCTGAAAGGGTATTGGTGTCACAGTCCATTACCCTGACACATGAACTAGACATCTCCCAGTAAACATTGTTAAAAAAAAAAAAAAGAAAGGAAAAAAAAGGAAAACTTCAGATTTTACTTTCTTGCCTAACCCATATTATTAAAAAAAAAAAAAAATCTTGTTTTTGGTGTATGGTGCCATTGCAAATATATTCTGTTGCAGCTAAAACATGAAGAATTCCTGAATCTGAATAAACAGTCTCATAATCTGAGGTCTACTTTTCCGTTAAACCCAAAGAGAGTTAATAGTACCTAATGATCAGTACAGGAATATCGTGGAATAAGCATGTTTTCTCTTCTTGCTCATTAATCACAGGAATATTTCTGGACAGCTTCAAATAATAGTGTTCTAAAAATGATTGCTGTTTTCATATTAATGAACTACAGTGACAGATCTGAATATTTGTACAAGTTTATCAGCATTTGGATTAAGGAAAGTTTGCATTACTGCCTTTGTTTCAAGCATATATACTTCAAATACACTGTTGAGGGTTTTTTTTATGATAAAACGAGGTTTTGGCATAAGACAGAACAAAGGAATTGTAAAATGAGTCTTATACTAGCAACAGCAGTGGATAGCTGCATATTATTGTTCAGTTAGCAGGGGGTTTCATTTATGAACTCCACAACAGTGAAAAGTTGGAAACAACATTATATGCACATTTTACTAGTCTATTACATTTTTAATCCAGACTTTTAAAGGCATGTGTATAGTCATTTACTACATTGTTCTTCCTGTTCATGTAAATTGTATTCACTTGGCTTCATCCAAGATTATGTGCTTTAAAAAAAACACACACAGATGCTCATAGCACTGGCTGATCATTTTGTTATGTTGGTTTGTACTTCTATAAGAGGTGTAACTAATTATTGCAATATTTGTCCTTGAATTAAAAGTTTATGTTAAAAAGAAATGCAAATATTGAGCTGGATTCATGACCATATTCTTGGAGCTGCTCTACTGAACAGCGGGCCAGCTGACAGCGGTCTGAGCTGTCCAAAGCCTTGTCATTCCCGGATCTCAAGCCATTCTGAAATCTAGAAAGGCACTTTAGGGAGATATAACTACAGGTTAAAATGTGAGTCTCATTCAAGTGAAAAAAAAAAAAACCCCAAACAAAAGAAACCCAAACAAAAAAAAACAGAACCTTTTTCTTTTTTTGTTTAAGAACGCATACTGTAATGGTGTTTAAAAGTTAAACAGAAAAGCAAAACCGTAAATATGTAATACTGTTGCTTTAATCCCATCGATCCATTCGAATTTGTTTTCTCATCATCTTAAATGTAGAGAAAGCTGATAACTTGCCTTCTTTTGTAATGGAATATTAACGTTATTGCAGAAGGTCATGGTTACAGGAAAAAAAAATTGTTTTATTTAAAAATTCTCAGGTCTCAAGCGATACCCATGATTCATATGATAAATAAGGATAGAATTTCACATAGCTTTTGTTGGGGAGAGTTTTTTTGTCAGCGTGCTTGAGACGCCGTTAGTAATTGAGACTCACGACTGGTTTGTTTCAGAGTGTGTTAAAAAACAAAGCAAAGCAAAACAAAAGCCAACCTGAAAGTCGCAAGCAGCAGTGGCAGCGAGGAAGCCCACGGGAGCTGCGGAGGGCCGGCCTGATGGCATCGCCTCTCACCTCTGTGCTGGGACACACTGGGGGAAAAAGGCAGCTCCACCAGTGGCCGGTGCTCCCGCCCTCTTGCCCCCCAACACAGGCCCAAGCCTCCTCCTGGCGGGAGAGGAGGTGCAAGAGCAGAGACCCGGCAGGGGGAACTTAGGATGGGATGTGGGACAGCAGCTGAGAAACCCAGCTGAAATATTTAGGAAACGCTGGTGGTCAGCAATGCCGATCAGGTAGGGAAACCACAGCTCTCCGATTACTGATTCGAGCTACTTGATCTCACCAGATGCAGTTTTCTAATCTGTAAAATAGGGAAAATTACTCTTTCCTACAGTTTTGCCTGAGCCACACATATTTAAAACTGGAGTGCAATACTAAGGTGCTCAGCAGTACTCCTTATATAGCATATAGTAGAAATACCCTAGTGTGCTGCATATGAAAAGAATTTTTTTTTCCAGATTAGCTGTCATCACTTCAGCATATGCTTTTTTTAATGCATTACAAAATTGTAAGTCTGCATCAAAATACGGCTTACTCTATACCAACACAAAATGCCTGTAGCCAAATTGCAGAACCCAAATATAGCTCTATTTGGTTTTGCATGATTGTAACTCTGAGTACCTAATATCCTCTTCATCTTTCTCTTCCTTAAATGAAGATGCTGATCATGTTATAACTGTATCCTAGCACCATCAGGCAGATGCTTTAGAAAAGATTATTGTACCCAGGCTGCATTCGTTACAAAATGGTTTAATCACGTTAAACTACCTCAGCATAAATTCCAAGCTGTCTCAATGACTGTTTCCTAATATAATTTTGCTACTGCATTTTCCCATGCTACTTTTTGCATTCTTTATATGGTACAGTATTATGGCCATAATATATTGCTGTAAGCATAAGCAAAAATTCTCAAAGAGTAAACACAGAAAGGTGAAGTTTCAGTGGTTGTTTGCCTTGTGCTTACAACTTCACAGACTCTATAAGCAAACATGCTCCAAGTTCTGCTCACACTGAGATCAGCAAGAGCTTTGTGACTGAAATCAGTGTGAGCAGGAGCAGATCCCTGCACTCAAGTAAGGCAGAACACAGTACACTTCTTCTTTCTCTTCTGGAAAAGTGTTATCATCATCCTCCAAGAAATGCATTCTTACAAACACCACATTCTGTGCACACTTCTGGAAGAAAAAGCTTGAGAAGACACACGGCCCAGTTGAGCAGTGATCTGCAGAACAGAAAGACCTGATCCAGTTCTAGCCGTGACCCTTTGGGAGATCTTTATCAGCATATTTTAGCTAACTTAGAACATACATAGATAAACACACTACCTTTATCTAACAGCACCTGGAAATCTGTAGAAGCAAAGTAACATGTTGCAGCAGCTAAACAACAGGATTAACATGATTGTATGATACTGTAAAATGGACAAAACTTAGTAAACAATTGCTCTGATACAAAAAAGTACTCTTATTAAAAAAAAAAAAGAAAAACGATGGAAGCAATGTGAACCTGGCAAAACAACGTTAAGAAGCTAATGTGTTACTTGGAAACAAAGAATCTGCATTAAGCCCCTGTGAACATACGCACACCTATTTCTAGTGCTCATTCCCCACTCTATACAAGAAAACATTCATATCTTTTTTCTTTGGTTTTATTTTTTTGATTGTTCCTGTCCAGACTCTCCATTTTCATAACCAATTAATTGCTGCTAATTCTCAAGAGTTTTCTAAAGCCCATCTGAAATGTGATGGTGAGTTTCGTATATTGATTGATTCATTTCCTGCTTAATAGAATTTAAGTACTGTTCTTCAAAGCAGCGCTCCTGTCCCTGTAGCTGAGTTCGCTGTAAGGCACTGGAAAGCGATCTGTGGAATCATTACCAAAACGCGTACAGAAAACGTAGGTGGAGGAGAGAACAGACACAATAAAACTCGGACTAACTTTTGAGCGTTCACTTATTTGGCTGCAAAGGAAAACAACTGTGCTAGGATATCTTGGGGTATGTGTGTGTACTTCTTGCTGGTTTCCCATGTGTTTTGTACTTCCTGGATTAAAAAAAGGTGAAGAAGCACTGCTTTAATATATGTACCTGTTGTAGGTTTCCAAATTTAGTCTAGCTATAGCAGCTAGTTACACTTCTTTCAGTTTTCATCCTTCGTATATTTATCCAATCACACTACTAACTAGATTCTTTAATCTTCATTTGCTTTATAAATATTTCATAGGCAAGAAAATTCCTTTTGGATTTTTTAATTAACAGCCATATTGGGAGTTGCTGGGCTAAAACAAACATTGCAAAAATTAAAGTTATGCAGGGTGATCTAAGGCCAGTAATAAATAAAGTGGCCAAAGAAGAAAAGGGGGAGCGTGCCCCCTCCATATTTCTGTCTTACCAATCAATTTCTCATAGCAATTAAAACTTTTAATGGGAGAATGAAAATTGGTTTTAATTAGTCAGAACTTGAGGTTCTTCTAACGCACAGCGCACTCAGCCAGTCCTACCATTCATCCATTTTACTGGGATAGTCTACGAAGTTTGTACATGAAGTTCCGCAGCTCTCATCTATCTTGTTCAATTGGTCAAAGCAAAGTATTAGGAAAAATTGCATGATACTAGATCTTCCTACCTATTTTGTCTAAACCACTGGTAACATCCTCTTTTAGGCAATCAATCAGTTCAATTCAAGGAACTGATAAAAAATAATTAAAAAAAAAATCTCACAACTAGACTTTAGAAGCTTTTGTAAAAATAAACTTGTAGCCTAGCAAAAAAACACAAACAAAAAAACCAAAAAAACCCCAAAAACACAAAACAACACACGACGTAGGACAGGGAACTTAAGATTGCTTACTTTATTGTTACCATTATTGCATATGGTAACGTTTTGTTATTACTGTTATCTTCAATGTATTAAGCTGTAACACTCGGAGAGGAAGAGGTGTTGGAGAATTGCATTCCTAGGTCTTCGGCAACACTTCAGAGGAAAACCTCTCGGTCCATGGCGATCAGCCACTTTATTTTCGGTTGTGCATTTGCAGCCTGTAAGTAGCAACAAGCCATTTACTTATGGGTAGAGAAACAGCATTTATATTTTACTTCATTTTACCTAAGAAGATTAAACCAAGGCATTTATGTATGAAAAAGCTTACTTTTAAAATATTAATTTAGACAAGTGTTAAGATCTTTCAGAAAAGTGAAAATCTTTATTAAAAACTTTTGTAAAATGTTTGGCATTTAACTTTTTATGGTGACCCTACATAATTCTCTCCAGAGATCTTCTAGACTGTCTTCAGATATTTGCTTCACCTTTTACCTCCCTAAAATCATTGTACAAAAGGTTACACTTGTAACACTTTAAATTAGTGAAATTAAGTTTATGGAAAAGTTAATCTTACTCAGTTACCTTTCAAACAGACCACAAGAATTAGGCAAATCTGGCAACTGGTTGTTTCTGTTACTGCTTTTCAGATTTAATATCCCTTAGAGAGATTCGCACTGCTCAAAGCCATCATTTCTCACGGCAGCTTTCTCAGCTAAAAAGCACTCTTGGTCCATGCTTAAACTGACCTCGTACTAGCCTGGACTCCATCCAGCACCTGGCAAAGCTCAAATGCTACAGAAAACGCAGCGATTTCCAGCAGCCCATGAGTAGATCCTTCATTCCCAGACTGCAGGGAAACTGCCTATGCTGATTTCCAGCGTCTCTGGTTACAACTTATTTCCTACGCATTGGCTAAGCCTTCATCAGCAATTGGTACCAGAACGCTCTCATGCTATGATAGTTCTTAAAGTAGTTTTGGAGCAGCAACAACCCAGCTCTGTTCCAGACAAAACGATGACACTGCAAAGCAGATATCCCCCTTTGGGCCCTGTGTGTGAAGACACGAAGTGGAACAAGCCTCTCTTCCCCCTTCGCATGAGTCCCCCGGCAGGTACTGAACATGGCATGCACCCTGGGAAGCCCTCCCAGTCTGTAAGACTTCTTCAGCAGGGTGTTATAAAGGCCAGAGCGCAACCTACTATCCCTTCATTCCTCTCCTTTCAGCGCGGCCTCCTGGATTTGCACCTGTCTCTCCTCAAGCTCACCTAGGTCAGTTCTACAGAGGTGCCGCCCAAGGCCTGAAGGAGACAGTCATAAATAACGATCCTCCTGTGCTGGCGGAGGGGTTTGTTGCCAGCACTCGCAGCACCAGCTTCAAAGCACTCTAAATGCCCCAAAATAAAGGTAGTGTTCCTGAAAAGCAGGGACCGCTCCTGCTGGAGATGCCCAGTAGACCTGTCCTCACTACGATGATCTGGAAGCAATCTTTGGGAGGAAGAACATTATGGAGCTGTTCACTTTTCCCACAGCTTCCCTGGAGCTCTGCCCATGGATTCACCCACTCAGGACTGGCAGAGAGGAGCCAGGGCTCCAGCTCACTCTGGTCCAGGTTCTGGGCAGTGACATAGATGACAGGACATTGCAGGGGACCATGCCATCTACACCTTCTTAAACCATCGAGATCCCCAACCACCACATTGGCACACTTTAACATGACGTACTGGGCCAGCTACGAGCTTGCTACTGACCATGGCTTATCCTTAACTTAAAAGTGAAGAAAGATTGGGGTGTGATCTTTTTATTTTCTTTTGCAACATGTATTTTCCATTACTGTCCTCATTCAGGTTATCATAACCATATAGCAACTTAACAGCCTGGACATTTCCCTACTTTGCATTATGCCGTTTTACAGCCTGCACAACTTCACACCTTAAAGGCACTATTTGCCTGAGACTTTGGTCTGTTAGTCACTAATAAGCCATTTAGAAGAGACAGAAGAAGAATAGCCTGTGCACTTGGCTAATAACTGCCATGGGGAGGTGGAAGGAGAGGCCCACGATGTGACAAGCAGAAAGGAACGTCAGAAGGCAGATACACTTTGCCAACAGAGGGCAGGAGAAATAAGTTGCATTTAGTCATTTTTGTTATCCCTAGAGGTTTTTGGGTACTCTAGTCTGTATTCTGGATGCTAGTGCGGCTGTCTCTGGCTCATGGACCTGCTTGAGGCACTGGCTGGCCCAGACCTCTTCAAACTAACAACCCCAGATTTGTGTGACTTGGTTGCTGGCAAAAGGCAGTGAGGGGGCTGGGCATGAAGCTGCAGCTTTCATTCCTCCTGGGATCCCTCAGGGCCCCGCTGCACCAGAAAGTTTGGTGCACATTACTGGTCATCTTGGGGTCCAAGGAGAAAACACTCTTACAATTTCATCTCCCAGGCTCAGAATACCCTGTCAGCTACAGGAAAACTGTCTCGGCCACATCCCGTGCCTGGATCTCATTTTCTGATGTGGTCGGCTTCTGGCAGGGGTGCCAAGAACCTGATCATCAAGCCATCAAGCCATCCCCTTGAACACAGCACTACAACTGTCTTTGGCAGGGGCTAGAGGCCCTCGTTGCTGCTCTGACATGGCTCTGCATGGCCCAAGATAGAAAAACCTCTAACTGCAGGGTCTGAAGAGCAGAAGCACCAAGCATCACGGTCTGGGGAAGTAAACAGTAAGGAGAAGGAAGAGCCTCCACACTATCACCCTAACGTAGTGACTGCTGGATGGATGCTGACATCTTCCTCAGCTGGACAATGTGAGCACCAGCAGGAAGGCATGAGGCCTGCTAGAGAGGTTTGCACTGTCAAGAACCAAATACTCTTGAGGTGGCTGTTAATGCAAAACGCAGCCACTGTCTACTGCCTGAGATGAAGTTGCTCCAAGCCAAAGAGCATTTAGCACCAAAATAACTCCTCTCAGCAGCCTGTAGTGGGGACATGAGGAGCTCTGCAACAACTTTTCTGTGCAATGAATTGCTTTAATTACCACAAAAATGTTGATGTCGTAAACACAGCAACAGGATACTGTATATACACAGAAGCAGATGAGGTCCTTTTATGTTAATCAGTTGAAGTAAAGAGTATTCCTTACCCAACATCTCCTGAGGACTTTTTTCCAACAGATACACCCAACGATTTCCTGTTTTTTTGTAGCATCCCAGGAGAGGCCTCTGCAAATAATTATTTAAAAATTTTATGGGCCATAAGAAAGTACTACGTAAGTGAATTCAACATATAACAAAGATGTTGATTCTCTGAGTAGCAGACAGTGGTATACACTATCATGCACATGTTATACTATAAATAGCCATTAAAATAACTTAAAAATCTTTTAAACAAACTGAGTACTGGTTACAATTATTGGTAGCAATGGATGCTAGCAAACATACAGAATCCTATTTAGAGGGAACAATTTTAGGGATGTGGTTTGTGTTATCAATTTTAGGGCTGAATCAACAAGGAGAAAGTCATATCAAGCCCACAACATATAAATACAAAGCAGCACTAATTTCTCATCTCCCACCTTGCCACTGGAATAAAAAAGGTCTTGGCTGCTGTAATTCTAATTACTTCTGTTTTGCATGGAAATCTTCATGGTCGGCTTCTGTTCATGTGCAAGTGAACAACTTATCTCAGAAAGCTCGATGCTTAATCTAAATGGATTTCAAGCTCAATTATATGAAAAGGTAAAGAAGATGGAATAAATCACAATGATGAAGATTAAAAACTAGGGAATCCTTTGTGGGACAGAGCAAACCTGACACCCAGACTGCATGCTAGCTGTATCTCATATTTTAGGTTTATATAGGAACTTCTGCTTGAGAACCTCTATCTGAACAGGTTAAGATGTCCCTTCTTAGAATCTAGATTAAACCCTATGTGTACACATGCAGCATAATGGATCAGAATCATGACTTGTAAAGCCCTTCAATATCAACAACATCCACCTGGAAATTTTTGACCCTTCTAATTTTAAAACACTGTAGGGATTTTTAAAAAAAAAAAACAGATAAACAAAAAAAACCCACTTAATTCTCCTATCAGGAAACAGGATTTCAAAGTCCAAGTTCTGTTTGAGATGCGGAAGGCATTTTTAAAATACATCAGAGTCTGTTATTAGACACATTTAAATATGGCTGACCGCTACTCCTTACCGGATCTAGATTCATTTTTACTGGCAGCTTCTTGTGCTCTCTTCTGAAGCAATGATAACACAGCACCTGTTAAGGTTGGGTTTTTTTTCTGAGTCACTGGTTGCTTGCCCTAGTAAGAGAATAAGATAGCACAATGCACACTCAGCTCTAGCAAAGAGTTTCTGGAGCCTAATGACAGCTCTCCAAATCACTGATGAAGCAGCACCAGGAAGGGCCAGAAAGAAGGTGCACCCCACCCCCCCAACTAGGACGCTAACCCTCCTACTAAAATAGATAAAAGAATAACAAGATTTTCTAACTTTTTTTTTTAAATCACTGCTCTCTTAATGTAATGGTTTACTTTATAATTTTTTTTGCTATGATAAAATAGGAGCTTACATTTAAGACACTACTGATTAGCTCCACTTTCCTGGCTCTCCAAAGAGCTCAGCCCTTTGGCCTTATGTCTAGCATCCGGGGAGCAAATCAGCTATCGGATCTCAGGGAACAGCTGAAGAAACCTCGTGAACAGGAGGAGCTTTCTCTAGATTTTGCAAAAGCTGCCCAGGTTTCTGTCTCCTTCCAACTGTTTCCCTGGAATCTGATCATAGAAGAACCCAAATTATTCTCTTTTTCATACTATTGTATTCTGTCATTTTTTTTATATCAGACAAAGGGCTCCAGCTTCAGGGAACTCCTCTCAAATACTCAGTTTGTACTTTGTCTTAAGGTTTTCCCAGCTTCCCTAGAATCTTAAGTTATATGTGAATATAGGACTTCAGGGATCACAAAACACTATTTGGGAGATCCGCCTTCTAGAAAATACAAGCATGAATGTGTTTGCTTACTGAAGCCTGTCTGGTGGTCTTTGGGCCTGCTGCAAAGGCACGGCGAGCAGCTTGTTCTTCGCAAAACTTCATGTGCCTCTGTGCTGCAGCCTCATTAAATCTTCTCAAGCAGTATGGACACTGAATATAGTCTGATCACAAGAAAGGAACAAGCTGTGTCACAGTTCATAGCCTACTAGGGAAGGATTGCCCTTCTTTACTGGCGGTAGCGCAGGTTGGCAGGAGGAGCACTGCACCTTGACACTCAAGACACAGTTCCAAACCTGGCTTCTCAGTGGGTGATCCTGGCGAGATCAAATTAGTTCTTGGCGCTTCAGTATCCCAAACTGCAAACTTAGGAGAATTAAAAAAAATCTCCTCTGGAAAAGCAGTTGGAATCCTAGAATATGCGCTCAAGGTATTAACACTGCAAACAACTGCTTTCAGAAATACATCCCTGGGCATTAATAAAGGCAGAAGATTTCATTATCTTTGTCTTATCCCCCTTCTCCAGCACCTTCCCCCACACTTGAACAAATGGGCAGAAAAAGCAATATTTAAAAGCAAGTTCCCCTTGAGTAGTCAAAACCAATGATTTTAAGACTAGTTTAGAAGACTGGCCATTAAGATTTGTTATTTGTTTTCACTAAATTCATTTCCTTTGGACATTGGAAAAATACTACTAAAGAAGCTGCACCCAGCCAGCTGAGGCACATCACAGAGCCAGGGTACTGTAAAAGCAGGAGACTTATGTATGAGTTATACCTGGGAGAATCATACAAGAAGCAACACAGTAATTAAAGAATTCAGGAGTAGAAATTCAGAGAGGGGCCTGACCCCAATCAAGGAAGGAAGACACATCCTGCTGCTTATGTTACATTGTTGTCATATAGAAGAGGGGAAAGACTAGAGTCATCGCAGCTGGTTTTGGCATCAGTTACAAATTCTTGCTCTGTAAATGAGCCAAGAGAACCCTCCTTCCTTTGCCTTTATAACTCCACTGAGACCCTTTCCAAGATTGTTCCCACATTCCATAAATCATGAGAAATATTTGCTGCATACATATCTTTTTGGATTCATAACTTCTAACACAGAGAGCTCAGTGCAGAGACAACACCTGGCATTAGTAATAAAACAGAACTGTCTTTTTCTAAATGACTTCCCCTAACTGCACACTTGGGGTGAGAAGCGGGTAGTGGAACGGCTACCAGGTGGGAGCAGGGAAGCGTTTGTGTGCTAGCTATTTTGAATGGTCAGGAGATGCATCTCACCCTTGTTATACCATGGTACAATCTGTGCTAGAACACAGGCATTCCAACTCTCCTCCCAAAACACTGTCTAATACCAGACCCAAGACTTTCTGTCTTTAAGCTTAAAATGTGCAATTAGTTTTTTCCTCCCCCCAGCCACCTCTTCACTGCACTCCTACGCAGTTTAATCCAAGAAATACAGCTGAAAAAAAGAGAGTATGGAGGGAGTTAATGTTCAAAATGGGTTGTGCAGGAGAGTGCAAAACTGAAGCCCAGCTGTGAATAATAAAAGCTCACTATTTGACTAAAGATCAGCACAAGATCAATAATAAGAGAAACTAGACTACAAACCTGGATTGACACTTGGTGGGGGAGGAGGGGGAAGAGGGTGGCCCTCTTTCATAGCTTTTGTGACTTGTTTGGCTGATTGAATAGCATTAATAAAATCCTCATGGTGTTGTCTCCAGTTAGATTTCCTCTCCAGTTGGTTCTGTAAAGGAAATAAATGAAGACACAAACTAGATTTCCCCCTCGCGAGGGACAGAGAAGAGTGTTAGAGTGAGGGTTCTTCCAGTAAATGGAATTTCGAGAGAGGAAAAAAGGTTACAAACAGTAGAAACCTGCTGAAAGGCTTAGGAAAGCTGATTTAGCCCTTTAGCATCTGTTGCCATCACCAGAAGATGGATAAAAGAATAATGCCTCCAACAAAACCAGTCTGGTCATGGCAGACCACAGGTTGTTTAAAAGGAAATAGAAAAGGTAACGTAACCAATGCCCTCCCTTCTGCCCCCACTCTTTAGTTCCTTTTATTTTCAACCTTTGTGCACTTTTGTCTTTTTCCTCAGCTACCTTTCAAGGACATTTTACAATGGCAGCCTGCGTGGATACCAAATCAGCAGTAGTTTGACATCTCTGGGTCAAATTATGTGCACATATGTACAGGTGTATTCACCTCCTCCGCCAACTATGCATGAAGAAAATCTTGTTCCAGTAAGATCTTAAGCCTCCTCCCCTCCAACTCTGTAAATAAATTAAATTAAAATACATTTTTAAACCCTTGAGTTCCATAGCATTGAATCGCTGTAGCTTTATCTGAAGAAGATCTGAGGCCACTGATAGCTCACAGATTCAACCTGGGATATTCTTTCACCAAACCAGCTTGGATCACGCTCTCTCCCAGATTTCAGCAAAGAGGACTCTGTCAGAGACCTGCATATTCTTTAAAATATATAAATGAACATTTTCTAGAACAGAAACACCTGTGTGCCCATAGTAGTCATAGTACTTTACTTTGGCTTCTGACCTGAGAAATATTCTCAAATGCTAGCAGCACAGAGAAGGGGGAGGAAAGAAAGAATTTGGCACTGAGTCAAGTGCATACGTGAGACCCGCCCACAGCATCCAGGCCTTGTCTCTGGAGAAAACAATAGCGTTACTGAATGAAAGACTTCACACGGAGATAATGCACAAGCTTCAGTTTTAACTATACCTTTCGTGGGGGCTGCTTCTTCACAGTGGCAATTTCCGTTCCCTGCAGTCTCTGTTTCAAAGAACTGAAGGGCTTGCGCTTCTTATTGAAGACTTTCTTGCATATTGGACCATGCCTCAGCTGGGATGCAAAAAAAAAAAAACCAAACATTTATGGGCTGAAGTCATGCTCTATTAATGGTATTTCTTTATGAAGGCTTTAAAATCACTTTTATTTCTATTCAGGAACATGGAGCTGAAGATTTTTTTTTTTTTTTTAGGTTCAGCTTTGCTCCTGAAGGAGTTCAACAAAACTTTTTAAAAAACTGTCCAAGTACAGCTCCAGTTTGAAGAAAAAAGAACTAGAGCCCATTTCCAGTTTTCACTCTGAAGAGACAAGCTGGAGGACAGCACAAATAACTGCTTGCAGAGGACAACAGATTGGGACTGTGAAAAGGAATCAGTCCCATTGGACTCTTCCCCCCCACCCCAACTCAGTTTTCTTTCTTTCTTGGTTAAGAGAACAGACTGATCCTGTTCAAAGAGCTGATATTTACATTATTAGTTCTTTGAGTTTAGATAAGTATTCCAGACTCAGGGCTGCTCTGTCAAACAGCAGCACTGTTCATCCCATCAACACCACTAAACCAGTGACGGTCTCAGGATGAAACGGAGCAGCTGCTTTAACAGCACACAGTGACCTGACGATTCAGAACGACAAGTAAGAATACCACATACAGCTGAAAGCAAAAGGAAAACGTAGGCAGATGGATATCCAGTGCCAAACGTGGGGAAGAGCCATACCTCGCCCCAAAGGAGGTTTTAAGATTCAGCAATAGCACAGATTTTTAGCGTTAACCTTACTCTTCTGAGCAGCATGGCCAGTTTTCTCTTCAGGAAGAGCACAGAGCACATCCTTTCTCTCATGATGGGGATTGCGTTCATTCAAGCCCACCTGCAGGTAGTCAATTAAAGACCCCACTCCTATCGCCCTTTGCTTACCCCCACCCTGGGTCTCAGGTATTCATCTGAACTTTCTCATTACATTTGTTATGCTGTCCGCTCTCCCACCATTCTCTTCCCCAGACTTAAGCAACTGCCTGGGAAAACCATCTCCGCTACAGCTCAGCTGAGCCCAGAAGCACATCCTTTCACCATAACATGCATTTCTAAATTCTCATTTCCCTTTGAAGCTTGCTACTCATGTCGTTATCATGTGCTCTGAAACATTTTTGACAGTGAAGTCAAACGGATTCCTCCGCGGGACAAAGCGGGCAGCAGATATCACTGCCGTGAGCACGCCGGGCCCGTGTCACTCAGGCACTGAGAGGCATTACGGGCTTATTTCTCACACTGGTCACAGTGCCAAGAAACCCCCCCCTCCTCCCCAAACCATAAATAGCTGTCTTCTCCAACAAAAATACTAGATTAAGCCATCATCTTCTTCATGTATCTGACTTAAAATACCACAGGTGCAATTACTACAAGGGGGTAGCTCCACCTTTGTCTCAGCAGTCACAGTTACTCGGACTTGCTTTTGTTCCTCCCCCCATTCGTCGCTTTTCAGTTATACAGTGGGGCTAATCTGATTTACCGCACTGCCACAAGATCACTAATGCAAACCTTAAGGGGAGAGGAGTGCGTGCAGAGCCCCTTCCCTCCCACATACCCTTTAGAAAAACCCTGCAGTTAAGTTGTTTCAGGCAAATTGTGAAGCTCCCCCCCCCCCCCCAATTTATTTGTAATCTGGGGATCAGTGAGGGAAATAAGAATCTTTTTATTCGCTTCAGCACACTTCGGAACAGAGCCCGGTGCCAACACTATGCTGTCAAAGCAATTACTTATCAGCTGGTTTATTGGTCTATTTTTCTCCAGGAGCCTAAAATGACAAATTCTGTCTAGAAACCTGGAACGCAAAGGAAGTGTCAAGCCAGTAATTTACATCTCACCGATAGACAGTATGTTTTTTTAAAAGGATATACAGTAAACATCAGTTTTGGGACAAGCAGGTAGATTAACATCATGCAAAGCTTTAGATTAAGTCACAATATTTTTATGAATGCTGACTGAGTCTTTAATCCAGGCTCCTCATGAAAGCACCTGTTAAGATAATCTGCATCTTTAAACACGTGCTCATCCCATTTCTCCACTTACGGGCCACCACCTCCTTCCCCAGTGCATACCACTCCTTTCAGCTAAACATATCCACGTTAGAAAGAAAGACAGATAGACAAAGTTTTGTTTTACCAGAACATCTCGTGCAAAATGTCTTCCACAGATTTCACAAGGAACCAAATCTTGACTTCCAGCAGCTATACAAAATTGAAAACAGTAAAGTCTTGGTTACACAGAACTAGAATCCAAGTGCACACCGGGCCCTGCTTGCTGAAACCAATTGTTTGGTTGTGAGAAAGGGACCTCTGTAGCCACATGGCAGGGCTCCCTTTGCAAACTGCTTGCTCTACTTTTCTTGCTACTATGAAGCACAAACTTCCTTTTAATTTGATTGAGAGCTTTTTTTCAGAAATTGTTGCCAATCAACCTTCACTGCACGTGTGCATCCCAAATAAAAGAAAAAAGTCATGAGGTGTAACATACTAACTCTGGATAGTAGACAATTTGCCCTCAAAGGTAAGTTTTTGGTGACCTAGCAGCATTTCCAACTCTTTCTGCGTTCTGCCTCCTTCACTTGCACAGAAAGGCTCTGAACTTCTCCTCCCATCCCTCTTTTGTCAGAGGGCAGCTTTTACTGTCTGTGTCCCTACTTACTTTTTCCCATCTTTGACAGTACAAGGAGTAAACAAACTGTAAGCTCTTTAGCTTCCATCTTTCTTTACCCCAGGTGAGTGAAGATGTTAGTTAAGACTTTTACAGTCCTTATAATATGCTTTATGGCAGGAGTCAGTAGCCTGGAAGCCCTAGAAACTATGGCTGCAGGGACAAAGTAGCAGAAGCAGCACCAAGCATAGGGTTTGCTGATGCACAGTGGGCTCCAGGAAGGATAAATTTGTAGTTCAACTTAGGATAATTACAGAAAGCTTTGATTACTGTCAGTAAGGATGTAGATTTTAACAGCAGCTTAGGTTAAAATTTTACGACCTAATCATACCTAATTCTTTGTAAACCAAACACATCAGTAATCTTAGTGACAGCTGGCAATCTCTAAGTCTCCCAGAATGTATAGTGGGCGCGTTCCCTCCCCACTTATGGCAAGCTAGATGTTTTAAATAGCATTATATGTAATTTCATATACAGCCTCACAGATGGATGCAGCTTCAGTTACATCCCGTAGCTTCAACCAGCAACGAGTAACGTTATCGAAACCTGACCCAACTTTGGTTTCTCCCTGAAGGGGTAGGTATGGCATTTCGCCATGACCTCACAGTCAGGAGAGAAGGCTGGCAGAAGAGCATTCCTAAAGGCACTCTCGCAGAAATTCTGGGAGATGGGCTGAAAAGGAAGAGCAGACTATTTGCACTCAGATTTATTCCTCTTCATTTGTAAGTCACAGAGTTAGGGTCCCCAGGGAAGGTACAGTCTTTACTACGCCAGAAATGAGTAGGTATCACACTATGCGTGTCATGATCTTCATTCTTAACACAGAACATTTCAATGATGAGTTAAACAGTGTCCCAAGATCTTACTTTGTAGATGTAAAATTTAGTCCTGTGTTCCTAAATACCAACTGAGAAGAAAGACCTGGTTAACTTAGTCCTGTCCTTCGTAACCACAAAACATCCACACAAATAGACATCCAATCTAAGAAGGGTCCATACATCATCTACTCCATACACTAACCATCTGCCAATGGCTAAACACTTTAATACCTTCTGTAAAGACATATAGTAAAAACAAAACAAAGCAAACAAACAAAAAAAAGTAGTGACTTGCAGAACAGTGTTTTCACAAATTTTGGAAGTGCTTCATAATGAACCAGACTGTTCCCAAACAAAAAAGCTGCATGGTAAAGGCCTATAAGCTATTATCCAGTCCCCAAACCCTACAAAATTACTAGTCTGGATATATTTAAGCACACATGAACAGCACGTGCATGCCCATTAAGTCATACTATCCCAAATCAAATGTGAAGATGTAACTGCTGGTATTTTTTTAAAAAGTGGGTGACAGTTTTTCTCAGTTCCATGCTTTTACTGAACTGAAAAATTCCAAAAGGGCTAAAATCCTTATTGAAACAAAAGAAATCTTTGTTTTGCTGAGCAGAAGCAGATGTATAACTGCTTTTGTTTCTTACCTCTTCCTCAAGATTTTACCGAACTCCCAGGCACACAGGGTTACTACAGAGTTCCATTAATTAAAACAATAGAGGAACAAAGCAATTCCCCAGCCTTTTTGACTACCACCTCAGTTTAAGTTTCATTCCCCTTTTGTTCCCAAGCAACATCCTTTTGTGTGTCTACGCTTAGTCTTGACTCAACTTTTCCTTTGAAGTGTCTTCCTCTGTCGCTCACGTATGTTTTATTCTGCTCCGATCCCCTCAAGGTTTTGACTGATACAGCTTATTTTTGGCAAAGAGATTTAGGTATAAACATAGTACCACTGAATCAGCAACGCAAAGTCAGGAAAAAGGGTAATCTACTACAGAGGATTAGTGACTTTAGACCTACACAAAAGCATATGAGTAAGAGCACATGGGCACTGTTTTCAGGGTGGGTTTTTTTTTTTTTTTTTCAGTAAATCATAAAATCACATTCCACCCAAAACACTAAACAGCATCTGTTACTCACTTGTTCCACTTAACTCCTTTCCTGGTAACTGACTCATCTCAGTACGCTGGTTTCTCAAATTTCCTCTTGAGCACTGTTGTCAGGAGTCATGAATACTAGGTGGTGTGTCTTCACCACTCAAAAGTTGGCAGCTTACAACAGCTTGAGTTACCATGTATCAGTAAGCAAATAATCAACAATTATGACATACACCAACCCTGCTTCAGCCTGTGAAACACACGAGAACTAGCATACTCACGAGCTAAATGAAAACCCCCAAGCTCTCCCTCCCTAATATCACAGTCAATTTCAATTGATTTGGTTAAGACTGAATCTTGATCATTTCTGATAAAATGGAAGGTTAATCTACACGTGAATACTGTATTGACAAATCAGTTTTCTTTGCAATAAATCAAGAGACTTGCGGAGTTAAATATTCACCTGTTCTTCAAAATTGTTTCACTTTATCAATTCAAAAATACTCTAGAAGCCTTCCTCCATTTAAGAAAATGATACTTTGCTTTGTTTCTGTACATTAAAAGGCCTCATCAGCCCTTCTAATAGCTTGTATCTATTCAATATTCCTCTTTTGTGAATATCCAAGATACTTCGAATTTATTAGTAGTCAATTCACTCTACTAATGTATTGAGTAGTGTTCCATATTAGAAAGACAGTTAACTTTTCACCCAAAGGCAGAAGAATGCTCACTCTATAGTCTTAGACCTGGAGGTGAGGGTCTCAGGAATGCAGAGGGCTCATAGGGACTGAAAATAAATCCTACTCATTTCATTCAAATGTATGGACTGGTCACTACTACAATTACTCATACACACACTCTATAAAACTTAAGATCAAATCAAGTCTAATATACTGGTTCCCTACCCACTTTCAGAAAGCTGTCTTTGCTACCAATTGTGTTGGGTCATAAATTTGTATTTCAGTGAAACCAAAATGCAAGACGCTTCAGGGAAATCAAGATAATTGCTATCTGCAACAGATAGTATTTTTCTAGTTTTTTTGTACCAAATAGCTGCTGTTTATTACACTCTCTTTGCCGTAAAATATTCAGACTGAGTACTTGCAATAAGGTTACTTTCAAAGGCAATATGAATGGTCATTGCCTATGCTTGCTGCAACAATTCTTTTTTTTTTTTTTTTTAAACTAAGAAAGGTAAAACTCAGGTTAGATAAGAGGGTTGTCCAGCTACACAAAAGCTTTTCAGACACCTCTCTTCACAAAAGGCCATTTTTCTTCTTTTATAATACTACCTAAATAATAAATAGCTGACTACAGAAACACAAAGAACGGGATGAAAGCTCCTTGAATTACAAGACTACTATATCAAGGCACTACATTTAAGCATCAGTATAGGGGAAGGAAGACAAACAGTCATATTGCTCTGTACAAACTCAGACAAATAACTTCATAGAAGAGCCTTCATAAAATTGTCAAATCGGCAAAATTCTGCTGATTTGCTGAGTATATTCAACAAATATGTAAAATTTTGTCCAGTGACAGCTACTTAGAAAAATATTTTTTATTATACGTATCTAGTATAATGCAAGTTCTCAACAGTTGTCATGTCATTCACGACAATGCAACATTACTAATACATTGTTAATGTATAGCTTCAGTTCGGAGAGAACGACAAGTATACTGGATCTTGTCACAGAAATATCTCAACACCTTGTTTGTGCATGACTGGCAAAGCGATGAGTCAGCAGTTCCCTTCTTAATACAGATAAAAACGCAAGGACACTTCCACAATGAAAGTTCCCCAGTTTCGTTAAGACAGCTTCAGTCCTTGAACATTCCGTTTCAGATTGAGCAACTCTTTTTCCTGCCTTGTTTTCTCCAACTTGAAGGCTAGTTTGTTGGCTTTCTTCTCCATTCTGCGTTCCTGTGCAAACAAATAATGACAAATTTACAAAACAGACATAATACGCAAAGAGAAATCATTCAAATCATGAAAACAGATCATGAAAACAGCAGGGATTTGTACAACAGCCTTATTTATGGCCACTGATTAACAGTAGTCAAATTTATCTGTGTACCTCCAGGATTATCATCTCTAATTAACTGAAGCATGACTGAACATGCTGACAATTTCTGTTCCTGAATAAAAACACTAGCATATCATCATGGCCAAACAGATTTTCCTCCCTTTATTTCAAAGGCTTTCCACTGTGTGTTATCTGAAATGTTATTTTCCTTACTTCCCTACATAATGCTGGAAGAAGCTCTTGCATTTCCTTGTTACCTATGTAATAGTAGCTAGAATAAAAGGCTCCAAATTTCCATATAGGAAAAACAGACCGACAAAATTACCAAGTTAACTTTCAAATAGATAATTACTGATTTTTGAAAAATAATTAGCCTTTGAGAACAGCAGGTTTTCCCCACTGATTTCCAGACACAAACCAAACGGGCTTTAAAAAAAGTTCATCGAACAGAATTCAGATAGTATAACTCATTTTTGCAGGGGTTTACTTAAGTAAGGAGTACATTTTACCTTTCGCTCTTCTTTTATTGCCTGCTTTCTAGCTTTGCGATCCTCTTTGCTTTCATTTTTGGAACGCGGCTGTGTTGATGCTCTTGGCAAGTCACTGCCATTTATCATTTGCATGCGTTCAATCTGTTTAGCCGTAAGACCTTTCTGAGGTAAGATGTGTAGAGGAATTCCAGTCTTCTGGGAAATTTTGATTGGTTTGGGCTAAAATAGAAAGTTCATATATGAACGGTCCCTAGCTTTCTCTCCAAGAATTACAGATCACATTGCCTTACCCGTACAATATAAAAACATGACTTATAGTTCAGATTTGACAGTAATTAACGTATAGGGTTCCTCATACTATGCTCTTCCCTTAGAGAAATGGATGTTAAACCCAAGGTAAGAGATCAAACACACCTGTGGGCAGAATCTAGAATTAAAAAATGTTTTCTCCTTTTTATATAAATATTACTGAAAAAGGACTTAAAACATGTAAGTAATGCTTCGTGATAAGGTTTCAAGAAGAAAGTCGCCTTTAAAGTCACACATCTGAAACATCAAGCTGTGCTCTAATTTTGATGACAGAAATTCTGGGAAGGCCAAAGAACTAGAATAGTTTCTCTGAAAGTTCAAAAAGGAAGCAAAAACATATCTTCAAAGCATATCTCCATATCTTCAAACCCTAATATATGGTTATGAGACATACACTACAAAGTCATATCACGAATAACAAGAAAGCAAGTTCCCTGCTCTCTCTATAAGTTTCTGCTTGCCTATTGCAGAAGTTCTGAATTACAAATTAAATCAAACAGACCTTCCTCAATTTTCCTTTTAATAGTTAATAGAAAAATGTTATCCAAATCCTTCAGCAAAGAAATAATACTAGATGTTAATATTCTCTAACCATCTTTTCTGCTCCCTCCTTCCTTCACATAATGACTTCAGAAGCAGGCATCTGTTGAGAAAATAATCACTTTCGTCTCAACTATTCTCAAGCTTGGCTGTTACTCAGAATAAGTTTAATGATTTTACCTTCGATGGCTCCTCAATAAGCTTTGGATGATTATACAAGTTTGAATATGTACCTACGGTCACCAAAAAAAAAAAAAAAAAGTCAAAGGCTTGCAAATAGAAATCAAGTTTATTACAAACTGTACTGCTACTAAACTTTTGAAAATATAAAATTGCACGAATTAAGATACCTACATAGAAGCAGTAATTTTATTTAGTAAGAATTTCTGTTGTTTCCACCAGAAGCATAAACCATTTTACTTAGAAGCAAAAGTCCTGATGTCAGCTCTCATTTACTTTGAGATCTGGGGACACATATGAAAACTCCAAAATACTTACTCAAAATTGATTCACAATCCCACTTTTCTTTGGATTCCTCAATAACCAGAGCTACTATTTCTTCTTTTTCTTCTTCACTTTCTTCATTAACAGGAGAGTCTAAATCTTCACAGGGTTCGAGAACATCCAGTTTCACACAGCTTTGAAGAAGTCCAGAGAAGAACAGAGGCAAATAAAGGAAGAAGATCAAATTAGTCTGACGCCAGGGGGGGAAAAAAAAAATTAAGGCTTATCTTTTATTAAAAATTCATAATTTTGTAAAACCAGTCTCCCCTCAATAAAACCCTAAACAAAACAAGCTAGCCCTAATATCCACTTGAGACAAAAATACTTCTCCTTAGGTAAAAATACTTCTCCTCCAAAATAATCATTTAAACAAGAGGGACAGATATCAAGACAAATATATCTGCATTTCAAAAGCATCGGGAACATAGCGTTTGTGACTGCAGGGCAGTAAGGGAAGAAGATACACTTTTTAGCCTAGAAACCTGTAAGCAAAGCAGCTGCACAGGTGATTACCTACTCCACTACTAACCAGTCAACCTTCACTAGAAGGTATACGTTACTCTGCCTCTCAGGAAATACAAAACTGACTTGTGAACATTTAGCTGTTCAACTTGAAGATAATATTACCAACTTTAAGACAAAGTGAACATATTGTAGAATTGCAACCTCACATTGGTAGTTGGTTGCTTTACAAGCACTCATTTCTTGCAGTGCTCCAAACAGTTGTATGCTGGCAACAGCTGTTAAGGGATAAGGAAAGATGTAAATAACGTCCTTGTTGTACAGCTTACGTTGAATATAATAAAATTATACAAAACCAACACAACCTCACCAACAAAATGCCTCCACTTAATCACTTCAAAACGCAGAATTGGCTTTCATTTGAAATGATAAAACGGATAACACCTCAATGTAATGTTATTTTCTTGAAAGATGTAATCTTCAGGTAGATGAACTGGAAATAATATACTCAAGATTTTAATATAAAAATATGATTACATAAGTAGTTATGTGAAGCAGCACTTCTGAGCACATACTTTTTTGCTTTCTCTTTGTAGTAATCATTCAGGACTTCCTGTAACCGAGCGTTGTCTGTGTTAATATAGCCTTCTAATTCCACATTATCCAAAGCTCCAATTTCATCTTCGTCAAATTGTTCAAAAAACTAAAATAAAATGGATATTTATAATTAGATTGCATTTGTCGTGCAACTTCTGGATAGCTTAAGCAAGATCTACATATTTCTTTGCTTGTCCCTTTTTCCTTTCCCCTCTCGTTCACTAAACGACCGCCAACAAAAAACAAATCTGCAGTAGGAGATTTACTCCTTACCGGCAGTATTCTTTCAGCATGGGAGCCACAAATTTATCTTTTAGCGAGATATAAATCAGTTTTTGGAAGATGTTTCTTATTTTGATGCACTATTTCAACGTGGACTTTAAAAAGTCTGTCACTGTTCAAGACAAAAGTTGTGCTTCCACTGTTCTTACTTCATTTCATAAATGTACACGAGGCACAGTGGTGAGACATGGTTAAAGTGAATCTCCACCAGAAACCTGTACTTGATTTATTGCATAGAACTGAGCCCCTCAGAAGGAAGTGGAACACTGACTATGAATGCACACTACAGTCACTGGAATAATTAGCAGGATATTGTAACTATATCAGTGTTAGGCCCTTCAATATCAATTAATATAATAGCCTATTAAATACAAGCCAGTTAGTACACAACATATAAAACATGAAATATTTGCAAAGAACAACTGTTTGATGCCCTGAGAACGGAAGGCAATAAGAATTTGCACAAGCATACAGGACATCAGCTTGTAAGAAAAGCACCCAAAAGGCAAAGAACGGTATTTCACATCCTTAAATTTAAGTTTACATTCACACTCCTGAGCTGCCTCACCTTCTCAAATCTGTCATCCAACAGGGTTAACTGTTCATTCCTTCGCATTACTGAAGATGTCATAGAATATTCTGTGAAACGACTCCTGGTTTCTTCTTGCATGAAGAGAAATTCTTTCAACTGTCCATTAACTCCATCTTCTGATAAAGGACCTTCTGAATCATGATCTTCATCACTACTGCAACTGTCCTTTTCGTCACCATCCTCCTCCACATCTTCCCATTCATCTTCATCCTCAGCATCTGAGCCACTGGACAGAAGTTTTAGGGTAATGACATTGGCCTTTCTAAAGTTCTGCGCAATGCTGAGTTATCTGACACAATTTGGCAATAAGAGATTTAAGTTTTGAGTAGCAAAGTTAACAATTATCATTCTCAAGCCAGTAAAAAAGATAAATAAGTTTAGCAATAACAACTCTGCCAAAGTCAGCATAACACTAGTTTTGTCTGAAAGCTGAAAGTGCTTCTGATAACCTCACTTTTGGTCATCAGATATGTGAACCAACAGCTATATTTACATTCACTTACCCATGTCAAAGTGTGTGTGTGGGGGGGAGAACAACAACAACCACCACCCCCCCAGTCACATCCCGAGTATTAAAAGATGCAACATTTCTCATTGCTCTTAAAATGAGAACGCTACAAAAGTCTAAAAAAAACAGTGTTCAGTGAGGTATCACATGAAGCATTTCTAAAAGTGTTGTAAAAACACATTAGTCTTGGTCAATAATCCAGAATTTCTTTCAGTGTGACAGATGGTAATGCTTTAAGTAGTTTAGGAATCCTATGTGTTGCATACATTACAAATATGAATATGGTAACAAGCAAACCTTATCTTTTACCTTGGATAACACAGGAAAATTCGATTTTTTCAAAATTATCTCCCATGTAACACAAGGTAATACTTTTTTCTTTAACACACGCGTATTCAGTTTGAAATCTGAAGTGCACTTTTGCTTCCAACAGCGTGTAAAATAACAAACAGCATCATTCCTATTTAGTTCTGATATAAACAGTTCTATAAAGCTCCATGTACCCTTTTTTTGGTTCATTTGCTTGTAGAACAAAATCATCTTCCAGAATATTTTCTGGATCGTCAAAGTCAAAATCATCATCAAGAGCTGCAACAATATCAGGGTCAAAATCTAGTCGTGGCCCTAAAAAGTTAAAAATATATATATATAAGTTGCTGTGACATCACAAAGGTACTTTCCAGGACAAAAAAAAGCCCAACAATCCAACTGGACTGTTAATTTGCACTAAGGAGAAATTAAACCTAAAAAGCACAAAATTCCTCATGAATATTTGTAGTTCTGATACACACCAGGACAAATCACCAGCCTCTTGTCAATGTTCCTCATTCAGAAAAGAACATCCCCCAGAGGTCGTAAGTTGTCAAAAAACTATCTTTTACTGCGAATATTATAGAAGAAAAATTATCCAAGCTAGAGTACTACAAGATCAACTGGCAACTCTACCTCCCACCCCCCAAAATTCCCTACATCACAACAGGTCAGAAAAATGTTCCTCTACTGCAAGTCACAGATCTTTCTTTAGCAGCCTGCTTTTAGGACAGGGAGAGCTATGGTGTTTGATCCCTATTATAAGAAATTATGAGAGCTGTAAAGTGAATGTTTAGTGAAAACACAGGTACATAGCAAAAGTATACTTAAAGCATGAAACACTGAAATCTTACTAGTGAAGGAAAACTACCATTCAGCAGTCCAAGGGAAGAGATATTTTGAGAGTGAAAAAAATCAAGGTCTGCACTTGGATTCACACTAATCAAGTACTAAATCAATAGTAACACCGTAAGAACCTGTTCCAAATAAAAACTAATGTGACACTGTAATCAAAGCCATAATTACCATCTACTATCTAGATGGCAATTCACTTACAGAAGGTAAAAGATTTAATGATACCTGAAACAGGAGCAGCTTTATTTAACAAGCCCACATCCTCTTCAAACTCTGTGGCAAATACTGAGGAAGGTAACTTAATAGATGGGGCCTATTTAAAAAAAAAAAAAAAAAAAAAAAGGGGGGGAAATCAAAAAAGCTGTTCTCAGTTTTTCACTTGAGCTCATATTAACAAAACGTGCAGGAAAATCATATGACTGAAAGAAACTCTGTAAGCGCTACTTATACAGTAAGACAAGTGCTATATTATTGGTGCAAATTTCCAAAGTTACTAGAGTAGCAAAGTTACAAAGCAACTAGAGCGTTGGCAGAATTTATCCCCATGTGAATATTCTGCACTTAGAGCAACAGTATTTTTTCATCTCTGAAGCTTTACCTTCTGTACAACTGTTGTCTGAAAAGTGAAATTCATAATTTTCTTAACACGTATTTGAAATTATCCCTTTACTGAAAGGCTTATTAGAAGCTTACAAACACATGCACCTAAAATAATTTTAGGTCTTACATGAGGTCACCAAACCACACTTGAAAGGTATTTCTAAGAACATCAGTTCTAATCAAAACTGAAATATTTTGTAAAACCAAAGTTCCTCAATTCAAAGTGACTGATTGACAACTGAGTATTTCATTGCTTGAAAATACTTAATGACTGTCCAGTCCAACATGATCGAGCATCAGGAAATTCCACAAGTTAGGCCAGCAATTAAGAAGCTCATTTCTACTCCCTGGTAACATATCCTGACACATTGAAAAATCCTAGAGCAATGAAAAGTTTTGAGCTTCTTAAAAATAAATGCCAATAGCAGAAAACACACAACTTGTTCAGACAAATACCTTTGGAAGTCCTATCTGTGAAGAAAAGCTTGTCATGTGCACACAAAGTGTTTTAACACTGCACTGGCTAATGAAAATTTGGTCATTAACAGACTTTGGCTTGACAACTTTTCTTTCTATTTCTAGGAAAGTCTTTGATCATGGGTCAAAGGGATCCTTTGTATATAGATTACAACCACTGTAATACTTGTGGAATAGGGCTAATGTGTCTACAGGATGCTAATCTCAGAAGTATAAGATAAGTAACAAAACCACCATGCTTACTGGAATTTGTTGAATCTCCTCCGCTATATGCCCCTTGCTTGTCACCACAATTCTGTTCTGTTGACCATGCACAGAAGGGACAAGCTCAGAAGGACCAGATGCTTCTTTCAGATGCTGCAAATAGTCATAGTCATCATCAAAGAACACTCCATACTTCCGCTGCTCTTCCTTTCTCTGCTCTTCATGCCCCTTGAAATTGTAAATAAAATAAAATAAAATTGCAAAAGTTAGCCTATTTAAAACTTATTAGAAAGAAAAAAAGCAACAAAGCAATTAGAATGCCTAAATTCTTTTTAAAAAAGGAAAGAAATTAATAGAAAAGATAATAACAAAGTTAGGTTCGGGGTAGGGTGAAAACGTACTGAAAAGGAAATCCTTGATTAAAACACCACTGGATAAGTTCATTTACATGAAAAAAAGTGTACTTTAGAAGCAAGAACTAGTACTTAAGTTAACTGGACCACTAGCACAGTGCTCCACACTTTTCCAGGAAAGCACTTGAACCACAATTTTTACAATCCTCAGTATTGAAAGAATAAGCTATTGAAAGAATTCTCTGCAGTGAATCGCTTTACATTGGTTCAGATTATATTGACTCCACAGCAGTCCCTACAGTCCTCTCTCCACACATCATCCTAACACACAACCAACTAGAATGTTGAAACCGCTTAGTAAAGTGTTTAGACGCTGTCTGAGCAGGAATTTAAGCAACTTTTTTCATAAGCAGCACAATTGACAAAGCCTGTTTTTTCAGGGTGGGTGAGATGATTTTTTGTTGTGGTTGTTTTTAATATATTTGTATCCCTACTGCCAATTAGCCATCCCTCCATCCATTAGGCAGTAATTCACAACTATCAAATCCCCTACAACGTCCCCTTTTTCTGTCCCAGTCATACCTTCCCACAATCTCGCATGGCCTTCCTTTTAATAATCTTTGCTCCTATTTCTCTGTTGTCTCCTATTTCACTACCCACTTCCACATTCCCAGAGTACAAAAGCTTGTTCAGAAGTGTATGTTAACTGGCTAGCAAAAAGAACAGAGAGATGTTCTATCTCTATCCATCTTCAGAGTTTTAGCTCTCCACACAACTGATTTTTCTGAAAGCTTTGTAACAAAACACTTTCAGAACTTCTGCTCCTCTCTCAGGATGCTTCTGAACCATTTCAAAGATGCGTATAGTATATACAGGGAGACCAAATACACAAACAGGTCAGAAAGATAATATTCACGTTTCACCTCCTTAGGGTATCAGGCAAAAATTACAAACAAGTTACAGCTGAACACCGGCATTTAACCATCTTCTCTCATGTACTTCAACTGTAAGACTCCATACCCATCTTTCTCCAGTGCAGCATTTCCTATCCGAACCTCAATAGTAAAAGCAAGTATTTACTTTCTGCGCAGGCAGCAGAACTCTCTGGGGTGCAGTATCATCAGCAGCAAGTGGATCCCTCTGACTTCTGTGCACTAAGTGAAATGTTACAGCTTTCTTCTTCTCTATGAAGGGCTTCTTCCTCCTGTGAGGCTGCAAAAAACATTTGGTTATGTTAATCGTTAATAAAAAACAAAATATAAAATGCATCCAAAAAGGATCTTTTGCCTGAAACATGCTCTATTAACATAAAGTCTTAAAACGTATACTTAGAGACAAAGCAAGAGACTAGTTGTATTTCGCTCAACTCTTCCGCCCACACGCAGAAGAGCATGAAGTTACTTCATGTGTTCCAATAGCACATGCAACCGTATTCAGCTGTAAAACGGCAATATATCAATATGAAACAAGTATTTGATTATGGCACATACTTAAAAAATCCCTTTGCAGGACTGTATGCTAAGATGTAACTGCTTTCTAAACACTGGGGCATATCTGAAACAAACTTCATCACAGAAACACAGGAAACCGATAGGCGCAAATTCATCTAGACAAACATAGCCTCTTGCAAATTGTTCAGATAGATGTTTCGATGCAATTTCTACGTATTCACCATCGACCCCAACAATTATCAACTACACCACTATGCAGATGTAACCTGAACACCACAAACACATTCACGTTCTGGATCAACAAAAATCTGCAGTTTTCTTACGTGGGTAAAAGCCTCTCCTACAAGTCAGCACATCTAACTGAAAGAAATACTTTTATCAAAATTTATAGCTTTGTTTACCTACTAGCATGTATTGATAGAAAATATATGTAACCTGAAGACTATCTTACTGATGTAACCTAATCTTCTTTTAACATATAAAACCTTACACACCATTTAACATCAAGGTCCTGAGCATATCAACTGCCAAAACGTATCTCTAGTTAAAGAAAAATATCCTATATCTTAAAATCTTAGGATAATCATAAAATGAAATGTAATCAGCTCTGGGAAGCAGACAACATATTACCCCTACGAACAAACTTTCTGCTGACTGGTGATACAAGTGAAGTGCTTATAAAACACTGACGTTGCAGGACATCAAGCAGGAAAACTAGACACCACCTCTTAATATTGGCCTATGGCAAACCCAGAAATCATTCCAGGAGCATGTGCTCGCCTCGTGCAGGCCTCAACCATTCCTAGGCTGGGAAGCAGACAACATATTACCCCTACGAACAAACTTTCTGCTGACTGGTGATACAAGTGAAGTGCTTATAAAACACTGACGTTGCAGGACATCAAGCAGGAAAACTAGACACCACCTCTTAATATTGGCCTATGGCAAACCCAGAAATCATTCCAGGAGCATGTGCTCGCCTCGTGCAGGCCTCAACCATTCCTAGGCAGGCGGCACAGGCCGCGGCACGCTGCCCCCTCCACCCCCGCCCACCTCCTCTTCAACACCACTCCGGGGGCCGCCGCACCCGCCCCTCCCGCAGGTCCGGAGCTCCGGGGCGCCCCGAACCCTTACAGGGCCGAGGAAAAGCTTCCGCACAGCCCAGCCCAGCCCAGCAAGTGAGACGGTTCACCAGGCCTCCAAACCCCCAAT